GCCTCTCTCCCAACAGAGCCCTAAAAGAAATGTGTCCCATCAATTGTGGACTGAAACCTCCAAAACTGTGAGTCAAAATAACCCTTTTCTCTTTATAATAGATTGCCCCAGGTATTTGCTGTAGTGATGGAAAACTGACCAATAAAGTAGGCCCGAGGGCAATATTTTAGAAATGATGTGTGTGGGGTTCTGAATAATTAGGTGGGTTTATTTGGACCAACAGTATGTTGCTGCAGAAAAATGGAAAAATGGGGTAGGTGTGGTGACTAAAGCCCGTCATCCTAGCTACTTGGGAGGTAGAAACCAGGAGGATAGTGGTTCAAAGCCAAAAAGTTCGCAAGACCTCATCTCAACCAAGGCTGGGTATGGTGCACATGCCTGTCATCCTTAGCTACACAGGGAAGCACAAATAGGAAGATTGTGGCCCAGGCTTGCCTGGGCATAAAATGAGACCTTATCGCAAAAATAACCAACCCAAAAAGGGCCGAAGGAGTGGCTTAAGTGGTACAGCACCTGCCTAGCAAGCACAAGGCCCTGCGTTCAACCACCAGTACCACCAAAAAAAAACAGGAAAAACGAATACCTTAAAGTGCTCTGAATTGTTGACTAACGAATGAAAAATTAATTCTAGCTAATAAAACTTATCACTTTCTCTTCCCCTACACCATTGCTAAAAGCCATGCAGATATTAAAAACATTCACAACTCATTTTTATGCAAAACTTCCTGCTGGTAAGTATCAGCTCTAGCCATCTAGGTGAATAATCAGATGTCCTTTTTAATAAGTCAGTGACTCCTGTCAAGAGTTGTGGCCAATTAGAACTCACCCTGATGAGGAGGCGGTTGCTGGTGTTGCCAAGCAACTGGCAAGCTGGGAGGCACATTTCCACGCCCTTCTAGCAAGTTGGAGTGACATTATGATTTCTGGCAAACGAAGCCAAATTATAACCCAGGGTGGGGTACCCCTGATGAAGAGTGTGTTTCTTTTAAATGCAAATGGAAGGGGACATTTTAACTAGAGTTTAAACAGTCCATCCTTACACCGATTTTAATTAGGAGATTAGGTGTCATTGAACTGCAACTGTGTCGCAGGAGAATGGTTTCTTGCTGCTAGATAAACACCCAAGCATTCTGGGAAATGGGCAGCTGGTCAGGCAGGGACAATGTATTTTTAGAGTCTGAAGTATTTATTATCACAGCCACACTTGGTTATAATGGCTTTCATTTTTATTGTTCAGAAGGATTAAGAAATGAAAGCAAATATTAAAAATAGGCTGCTGGAGGCTGATGCCGCCTAGAGAATGCTGCTTGTTTTACAGTTATTAGAAAACCATGCTCTGCCTTAGAAGCCCCTGCACGTGACCGTCTGAAGAGTTTACAGCGAAAATTTAAAGGCCAAACAAAGCTGCCATGATCGCTGTAATTCTGCAAAGACTTTTGCACTGAAATGGTCAGAGCCATGCATTTGCTCAAAAGCTGGGTATATCAACTTAAGTTTTTAAAAATCGTAGTCATCCTTGAGTAATATGTCTTCTCCAAGGCAGGAAAGGCCTAGAGGGAATAAGAACCACATCTGCCTCTGCCTTAAGATTCATACATTATTGACTGTGCCTTCCTGACAGGAAACATCTGGATGAAAGTGAAAAATTAGGCAGAGAGCTGGATTCTCAGTGTTCTGCAAGATGCCAGCCTTTCTTGTTTGTGTGACATTGTAAAAACTGGGTCCCTATTCATCGCAAGGTGATTGGCTCATTCACTCTTGGGTGATACAGACATCCTCTGCCTCTCATCTATGAAGTTGCCTGGTCTCTGACATCTTTTCAGAGGTCACCATCAGCCCTTGGTTATGTGGGTGAATGAGGAAATGCCCACCATTTACTGTGGGCTTTGAGGACTGAGAACACACAAGTGCCTGTTTGGATACTGAGTGACCCTGTGAGGTCCACATGCAAAGCGTTGGTGCTCAGGGCAGTGGTACCAGAAGGAGCTGTGGATCTTTAAGGGGTTGGGTCTACTGGGAGGTCCTTAGGTTATTGGGAACATGCATTCAAAGGGGATTGTGCGACCCCAGTCTCTCTCTTTCTGTCTCTCTCTCTCAATCTGTTCCAGTCAAAATCCAAGTCATAGCAGTGGTGGTTCAAAGCTCCAAGTTCATTGTTATATCAGTACAGTCAATGTATTATTTATTGCTTACACTGAAGGCTACCTGCCATTTTTGGCTGACTCACACAATCTTAGAAGAGTCTCCAAAAGTTATTCCTGTTGACTTCATGTTTTTTAAGTCAGAAGAGCTTCGAGGAACATGCAAATGCATAGACATCACAGTATTCTTCCTCTTTTAGATGCATTAGAATAAAGTTAAGAATAAAACCATGCCTGCCAAGCATGAGGCCCTGAGTTCAAATCCCAGTGCCACAAAAAATAAATAAATAAAAATAAAACCAGTGCTAACCTGAGTTCCTGGGGGATACTGCTATTTATAGTTTTCCCTCAGAGAAGTACTAATTAAGCCTCAATTTTATTTCCTGAAATTAAATTTATTTACTTCCTGACCCATAATAAAGTTTTACATAATCCTAGGATTATTTATTTCATAGTCTTTGGTAAAATACTTAGCAAAAGACTGTAAACATCAAAATAAATCTCCTGGTTGCCCTTTTAAAAGCAGGAATCCTTTGGGGGATGTGGTGGAAGCTATAGCAGGTTAAGTAGGCAAAATTTTCCCCATCCTTCCAAAAAAATATTAGTTGTTCTCCCAGCAATGCTCAGCAATCCTTTCATATAAATTGCAATAATTCATCTGTCACTGGGCTATGATGCCAGTGATCTTGTCTTCCTGAATCAGGGATACCTCAATCAAATTTTCACTGGCTCGCTATTTCTACATATTATCCCTGGTAAGAGTGAAACCAAAAAGCAATTTATTTTTAAATGAAAACATGGCTTCATTTGATCTTCAGCACCACACACACACACACACACAGACACACACACAACACGCACAGACATCTATGCGTCTTCCTGAAATGATGCTGATTTTAAAGTAACTCCAAGCATTGTCAATTGTGGCAGCCTAATACCCAACATAAATAAAGACGGTGGCATCCAGACCTTCAGATAGAAATGGCACTTTCAGATGCAGGTTGAGGAGGGCATGGTGGCCAAGGTTCTAAAGGAAAATGCCTCTGAATTCCAAGGAAAACAGACCTCTATTTCAAGAATGAACCCTGAAATTTGATGACAGAAGTGCAAAAGCTACTTACAAATTTAGAAATGACTAGCAATACTGTTATTTCATAGCTATGGCTTAGGTCCCCTCTGCTGTGTACCCGTGGTTCAGCATCTGAGCTGTCTCTGGTCTCTGAGTCTCATTTCCCTCTTTGTCCCTTTGTAACCTGTTTTCCTATTTTAATATGTATACACTTGTGACTGTCTACAGAGAGCCAACAGTTTGTTACATCCTCATATTTTACTTTTTCTTTTCTTTTTTGTTTTTTGTTTTTTTGAGATAGGGTCTCACTATGCAACCCAGGTTGGCCTTAAAATTTTCAGTCCTCTTGCCTCAGTCTCTCAAGTGTGCCAGTGTGCCTGGCTTTAACTTTTTCTTGATAAATTTATTTCCATTTTCTTTCTTTCTTTGTTTGTTAGTGATTTATTTTTGTGGTCCTGGGGGTTTGAACCCAGGGCTTCATGCTTGCTAGGCAGGTGCTCTACAGTTTGAGCCACACCTCTACTCCCGTTCTAAGTATCTCAATGTGAAGTCCTCTCCTCTTTGGAGGATTTCTGAAGATTTGTAGGAATTCATCCAGGGCTGTGTAGGCAAGTATCTTCAGATGAAGCTAAAAGAACCGTCAACTTGTTGGACTGAAGGTGGCTTACTCCAAGCCCCAGCATTCTAGAACAGTCCTAGTGGATGGTCCAGGCCCAGGGTCCTCCCGCCAAGCTTTGGAAGGTCACTTGCTCTGGAGCTGTACCTATACCTGTACTCAAACTGAGGAGGCTTCTGAGCCAGTCACTCCACATCAAAAGGGCCCAAGTTCTTACACCTGAGTTTTCACAGAATTCAGACCAAAGACACCAAAGCCAGACTAGCCACCAAAGAGTCCATCAGCCCAGATGCAAAAACAGTAGTTGAGATCAGATGTTCAAGAAACTGGAGCAGCAGCACAAACACCAGCTTGTAGATGCACAAGAGGGAGGGAGCGACGGGCCATTGATTGAGAAAGGAGAGCTGTCATGGTCCTAAGGAGCTGGCAGCTCTTCCGGAACCTGTTGGTCTCTCTGATGTGGCCTCAAAGGTTATCCTGAGCCTGGCTGCTCACCTACCGTTCTGCCAGGAAACACTTCCTTCCCAATAACCCATGCATTACCTTCCCATCTAAGACTTGATTAAGCGCTCGCGTTCATTTCCAGCTACCTCCCTACTAGGTAGTATGTGCTTCATTCTTCAGAATCAACCTTGTCACCTGAGAGCAGTTAGGAATGCTCTCTCAGCCAGGTGTGGTGACCCACGCCTGTCGCCCTAGCACTCGGAGGCTGAGGCAGGAGGATCGAGAGTTTGAAGCCAGCCTTGAGCTACATAGTGAGACCCTGTTTAGAAAAATAATGCAAACTTTCAGACCTTCCGAGTCAGAACCTGCATTTTAGCAGGCTGGCCAGGTGATCTGTTACACGTGGAAGTATGAGAAGTGCTGTTTCAATTTTCTCCTGAGTGCCCCAAAGTCCCTGCAGCAGTGTCTCAGGACACAGCTGCAGTGCCATACGCACTGTTGACTCACAATTGATTTATGGCAGCTGGGCTTGTGGGAGGCTGGCGAAATGGAAGCCACTCAGCACTGCATCCTGTGCATTTTGCATGAGAGAGAGGTCAAGGGCCCCAACAGGCACAGCCATTGGATGTGCTGCCTGGGCAAGTGATGCACCGGGACCAAGTTTCCATCATGGGTTGGAGAGAAAAGCCTGTTCCTTATAGGAAGGGAGTCTGCACTTCCCGTGGCTTACCTCCATCAACTTTGCAGGACTGAAAGCAGAAGTCAGGATGCCTCTGACCTCTTCCCATCTTTTGTCACGCAAAAACAGGATGCTGTCAGCTACTGGTTTGGGCTCCAAACCCGATGCCTGATGGAAAGTAACAAGCAGGGGGTTAGGACACAGAGAGCCAAAGCCACCTTGGTGTCAATACAAGTTCGTGATGAAACACCCTCATGAAAATCCACCAATGGCCAAAGCTTAGATTTCTCTTGCAAGGGTACCGAACTGTCAGGGATGATGACCGGAGACTCTCAGCCGAGGCCCAGTGGGACAAGATGAACCAGCTCTGCTGGCCCAGTTCTGCCCAGACACTGTGTGGTTGTCACCATAGAAACAGCTCAGCATCCCTGTGTGCTCTGAGGGTCCTCTGAGGACAAACACGGCCAACTGCCTACAGATGGGCCAGTCTATCCTAGGACTGAACTTCACTTCTGAACCTTGTTACAGGGGATTTGTGGGGCTGGCTTTGGTTGGGTTGGGTCCTGACTTGTGCGTCTGGATCCTCAGGAGGAAGCGGGGTGGGGAGTGTGTGGGGGAGCACAGTGTTTCCAAAGTTGTTCCCGGAAGAGCTGCTTCCACAGTATCTGTTTTCTAGTATTCATTCATTTTTGTCCTCAATCAACTAATAGTCATTGAATGTCTAATTGTGTGTTGTGGGTTGCGTTGTATCCCCAAAGCTTCGTATATTGAAATCCTAACCCTCGGAATCTCAGAATGTGACTGCGTTCAGACATAATTACCTTTGAAAAGGTGATCACAGGGAAATCAAGTCCCTGGGATGGGAGAGGAGCTTAGGTCGCAGACACGCGCAGAAGGAAGGCCATGTGAGGACACAGAGGGAAGGGCAGCCATCCTCAAGCCAAGGAGAGAGGCCTCAGATGAGACCCGATCCCAAACTTTCAGCCTCCAGAATTGTGAGAACATGAATTCCTGTGGCGAAAGGCCCCTGGCCTTGGTACTGTGCTGTGGTTTCCCTGGCAAGCTCACACAAGTTTTAAGAAGCTGGTTATACGGTGAGATGGGGGCGACAGACAGAAGGGGAACAGTGTAATCAAAGGAGCCAGGGAGCAGTACAGCAACATACCCGTGTTCATTTTGCCAAACATCCTCCTCTACTATTGTCCTGGAATAACGGTTAACCACAGTTGAGGCTACTTCTGGGTACAGTGGCCAATGTTCCCTAGCAGGGACTTTCCCCACTCTAGAGGTCAGCCAGAGGCCTCATCTACATCTCACTAAAGCTGTAGTTTCATGCATGCATCTCCCCTCAAATCACCATCTTGGTTCTGAGGACCCCTTATTAGGTAAACCACTCCCCATCCCCTGGTTCTTGGAAATGCCCTCCCCTTTTCAGAAACATCCACAATTATGTATATATTCTTTGCATAACCATTAAACCATACCCATAAAAGTGACTAAGACCCAGGGGCCTTGCCTGCTTCACCAAGCTGCCTATCCTCAGTCTCCTAGGGGGTGTACTTTCACTTTTCCTTCAATAAGTCTTGCTCTGTTGAAACTCTTCTGTGTGTTTGCCACTGAATTCCTTCTCCGGTGAGACCAAGAACCTGCCAGTTGTCTCCAGGGACATACAGTATTCAATAGAGAAGACTGCTTTGGCCCCCATGGGGTTGACAGTCTTGTAGGGGACAGAGAGCAAGCTCCTAAACTAACAAATAGGTATGGTTAGCATTTAAAGAAAGTGAATATTGTGAAGGGAAAGATAGACTGTGTGGGAGTGTGGGGGGGTTGACAGGGTCAGGAAGACTTCTCGGAGGAGGAGCCATTGAAGCTCAGCCTGAGTACGTGAAGGACTTTACAGTCTTCTTCTTCCTTCTCCCTAGGCTACCCTATTTCTTTCTAAGGCCAATTAGTCACCAAGTGGTCACAAATGAAGTCCTCACAGTTGGTTAGCATGCCCCCCCCCAAGCCCCAGTACTCTAGGGGAGGTGGAGGCAGGGAGACCACAGGACCAAGCACTCTTCAGAACCACACATGCTCTGTGGCTACACTATTTCTTTTCACTGTTTTAATTATAGTTGAAACATGAAGCCAGCCATCATAATTCAAAGCCTTGTAAAAAGTCCTATTTAGAAGAAAATTATAATTTTCTAATAAAATATGAACACTCAAAATAAGCCATAAAACATCACTGCAAAGTATCCAGAGGATTTAATTATATATCGGAACCAAGTGACTGGGATATTTTTCTGCAGAGGAATACCTCTCTATATTTAGAATGAAATTCTTTAGGAGTGCCGTATCCACTAAATTATGGTTTTATGGAATTTTTGGAACATAATCTGCTGTTTTGGTTCCAGAGTCAAAAGGAGGAAATCACGCACTACGTGTATTTATAGAGCAGCAAAGCCCCGTCCTGTGCCACACCACAAGACTTTTCACTAGAAGGGGAGAGGAATGAAGGTCTATGTGGCTTTGAGGAGACAGGATAAATTAGCGATAAGAGTCATGATGGATGGATTTAGATCCGTCCTTAAGGGCTGAGAGTGTGTCCATGGATTTTTTTATCTTTCACTTGAAGGAAAAATCTCACCTTCCATGCACTATGACATCACGGCTCTCAGATCTGTCCCACCTGCTGTGACACGTTCCACTAGAACCATCCATTCATGATGGCAATGTTTGGGGGCATTGGATACAGAAATGCTTTGTTTCTAGATGTCATACTATAAGAAAGAGAGCAGCAATTTGGTCATTTCAAAAGAGCTGTTGGATGGCGAGAAGATATTCAATAACGTCGTGTGAACCAGTTGTCAGGTTTCAGAATGCTCAACTGGAAAAGAGACTTGGAGGATGTCCCCAATAAATATTTATTTAATGCATAGTACCTGAAAGAGGGAACTGAGGGTGTCTTTGTGATCTTGGGGGTGGGATCGGGTTTCATAGTGGAAGCTGAGGGGAAATTACAGATCATTTCAAGGAAAACTGGTCCCCTAGTCAAAAGTCCAAATTATTCAAAGAGAAGCCAAGCTGCCTTGAGCACTGAGCTCCCACCACCAGACTGTGCTCTGCTTCTGAGGAACTTGGTGCAGCAAGCTTGAGCACCCAGAGGGGTGGGTGGGTCTAGGTGGCGTTCCAGAACTTCCAACCTAGAGATTCATCTCCAGAAGACCACGCTTGGCATTAAAAAAAAATAGCTTGTTTACATGTTGTTCTTTTAAAAATTGTGGCAAAACCACCCAACATAAAATTTACCAGCTTAGAGCACAGAGTCGATAGTGCAAAGTCCATCCCCACTGTTCTGCGCCATCACCATCCATCCATGGAGCTCCTTTCATCTGGAAAATCCAAAACTCTACCTCCCCCTCCCCTCCTCCCCCGGTCCTGTCTGTGTATTTACACTGGTTAAATTCCCCGAGGAGCCCCGTGATGGCTTGAAAGGTCCTAGGGCTTTTTCTGAAGGAGAGCAGGGCAGACTGGGAAACTCCTGGGGCGGGATGGCAAGTGTTGCTCAGGAAGGGACTCTAGTCTTGGGAAAGGAGCTCCAGGGACATAGGGCTTTCTAGACTCCTGGCTCAGCCTGGTCACGTGATCCAGGACTCAGCAAAGGCACCTCCAGTTTCTCTGGCCACAGGTTTCCAGAATTCAGGCCAGAACCTGTCACAAGATCAGTAGTAAGTGGCAATCAACATTTTAAAAAAGAGCCAGACATGTGATCCCAGCACTCAGAAAGCTCCAGGCTTTCTGTATAGCAAGACCCTGCCTGAAAACAACAAAAGGAGAGAGAGATAGAGAGAGAGAGGTGCAGGGGAGGGAGGGAAAGAGAAACAAGAAATAGAAGAGCATTTTACAAAGTCAGAATTCACATTTTCTTGTTGAACACATTCAACAGAGGTGTGTGTGTGTGTGTGTGTGTGTGTGTGTGTGTGTATTTTGTGTCAACATAAAAAATGTGTTTCTTTCTGTCAGTCGTGGTTTGTTTCTTACTTTTAGTCAAAAAAAAGAGTTTGAAAAATCTGTTCTAACTCAGACCCCAAACCTGCAAGTCATCTACCTCAACCCAAATCTGGTCAGTCACAATCCTGAAATCTCTCTCCATCTCCATGGCCACCACCCTGGCTGAGGTCACTGTTATCTCACCCCTAACGGACTCCCCTGCCACCAGCCTTATTGCACCCATCCGTTCCCCACGCTACACGATCTTTCAAAGGCATGAGTGTTGAGAGTGACATATGGTCACAGAGGCTGGAAGTGGTGGGGAAGGCAATCCCTGGGTCCCCAGTCACAGTCACATAGGAACAAGACTCTGTGGTGTCAGAGCGAGATAGGGTGACTGGAGAATGATGATGCCGTGTGTATAGAAAACACTAGAAGGAAGGATATTGAATAACTTCACCGTGAAGACATGGTGCATGCTTGAAGTGTAGACAGGTTTAACCTGGTTTAAACAGTACACAGTGTTTACTTATATCAAAACATTGCACGGTAGAAGTTTTATGTATCAATTAACACGTTTCAGCTCTGTGCAAGAGCCTGGCCTTGTATAGATTCTCTGCCTTGGTTACAAGGTCAAGTGGTCAAGTGTGTTCTCATCAATTCCTCACTCTTTCCAAACACAACCCAGATTTCTTTAACTTCTCACTTCTTAATAGTAATAACCTGAAGACAATGGGTTGGACTTTCTGGAGGCCCAGGCAGTACTTTCTAGCTGAGGTTTGGGCAGGATAGTGTAATGGTAAGGGCTTGGCTCTGGGGGATATTTAGAACTGACCTATCTGACTGGGCATGGTGATACATGTCTGTAATCCCAGCTACTCAGGAGGAGGAAATAGGAGGATGGAGGGTCAAGGCCAGCCTGGACAAAAAGTCAACAAGGCCTTGTCTAAAAATCAAGCAGGGCCTGGTAGTACATGCCTGTAATCCTACCTGCTAGGGAGGCAAAGGTAGGAGGATCACAGTCTGAGGCTGTCCTGGGCAAAAACTCGAGACTCTATCTCAAGAAACACTAAAAGCAAAAGGTGGTTCAAGTGGTAGAGTTCCTGACTAGCAAGTGTGAAGCCCTGAGTTGAAACCCCTGTACTGCCAAAAAATAATAAATGAATAAATAAATAAAAGAATTGACTGCTCCA